ACAGAACAAAAGAAAGGAGTTGACCGGTTGTTCCTCGTCACCAGACGTGAGGAAATCTCTCTGCTGAAAAACTTGGCGCTTGCCGAGGTTGCCAGCGATGTGAACCGGGCAACGTGTTCTGTTCAGTGGGCGAGAATCATTTCCCCCGACCCACAAAAACAGGCAAGGCGCCCACCGCAATGCAAACTGCTACTGCAGTCGTGGGGACTATGATGGTTACACGCTGAACCAAGAGGACGCAACACGAGAACTTTCAGAGATTTAAAGACCCTCGTTCTTCGCCTTAACATTTTTATTGTAATATCTTTGTCTTTACTTCAGTTTTATATCCCACACGTTACCCTAGGACCGTACATAATATTTCATTCCAGAGTTGAAGGTCATGGGAAAACACGAATTTTCCATAGTCACTGAGGTCCAGTGAAAATAGCGTTAACAACAATAACATTGGCAACAATAAGCAGGGATGCCTCTTAACCACCACATTGGCCACTCCATCTGGTTATTATTTGTATTGTTCTGTCTGCCGACAGGTCCATATGAACAGGATCCTTTCATCCTTTTATCGGACTGGGACCTGTTCATATACGTTCTTGGCGGATGATCCAGAAGTGGTTTGCCATTGCCTTCTTCTGTGTGTGAATGGAGTAATTGTTGGGATGCCACGGAGAAACTGCGGAAACCCCTGGAGGAAAACTCCGTGTTGCCTAGACCACGGCCTTGCCCAACACAAGTTATAAATTCGGGCACCGCCGGGAATCGAACCTGAGACCCCAGAATTACAAGGCCAGCGTTCTAACCGCTAGACCACCGTGGTGGTACCGAACTTAATAATCCATTAAATTATACCTCTACAAATCTTTATAGCGCGGTGCTTAAACACTGGGGCTAAGACGTATATTATATGTATCAATAAGACAGGCCGAATGTAATCATTACTGTTTATTAATTCGCTTTGGGTTACTGGCTACTGAAATGGATTTTCTGAGATGATCGGCAGGTACGTGTAGGATGTTTAACGTCAGGAACATAAAGATAAAATAAATTATTAAAATAGACGATAAGCGAAATAGTTGGCATGTAAATACAAAAGACAGAAACGATTATTTTGGCTTGGCCACGTCAAACGACAGATAAAAGGTTGCCAAAATTAATAATTAATTGAGTACATATTAAATAAAAAAGAAAAAGTTAACCAAGAATCTGACTGACATGGAGTAGTAATAGGAATGAAGATTAGACAACTGCAGGTTGGACAGTCTGTGGACAGAATATCGGCCAAATATATTTAGAAACGCCACTGTATGACATCTCTTTAAAGTGGATAGAGAAACAGATTTATGTTACACACGCTTAAACTTGTAGTGCAAGTTAAATTAAATTAATTAAATTAAATTAATTTAATTAATTAATTAATTAGCACCTTGCTTTTGTCATTTCTGTAGTGAGAATGTGGCACTCCAAATTACACTGCCACTAAATAAAATTACACAACCCTCAAACGAAACAAGTTAGGAAATATATGCATGTCGTGAAAATTATAGAGCATCCACCAGAATTTTTCCATTGCAATTTGTGAACGGCACCTGTTACGTTGAATTTTTCAGAGGTCTGTGTCCTTTGAGTCCCGCGTCGTTGTACACATATGTACCTTCACCCCTTCCAGAAGTTACCAAGGTCTGCTCATTATTTCTTTTCTGAATTTATTTCTAGCCCTACCTGTCTACTAGCTTCTAGTAAAATTTCTGTGTTCCTCTTTATTGAATTTATATCGTCAATAAATAAATTAACATCATCAGCATATGCCAATAGCTGATGTGTCCCATTCAATTGCAAACCCTCCTGCCTGTCTTGGACTTTCCTGATGGCGTATTCTAGCGCAAAGTGAAAGAGCAATGGAGACAAAACATCTCCTTGTTTTCGACCGTTCTTGATGGAAAATGAGTCAGACAAATATTTACCTAAACGAATTTTACTACAGATTTCATTTAAGACGGATGTCTTCTGGGTTTTTGCGCCGTGTGGTCTGGTAGAAGTTTACCGGCATTTCAGAGGTCCTTTCTGCCTCATCGCCTTGATTATAGAGACAGCAAGGACCCCTGAAACGTCGATAAACGTTACGAGATTACATGGCGCAACAACACAGAAGACTGCCATCTTCAGAGCCGCCGCCGTGAAAACCTCAAATCCTACTGAGAAGAAAATAATTTTAAACTGAATGGCAGCAAACACTTCCAGATTTCAGTTTGTTCTTAACAATAAATAACAAACATTACAATAAGAAGCAGGTTGTTGTCACATGTATTTTCGCTACAGGAGAATAGCAAATACATTTCTTGTTGCAGTGTTACTTCATTTCGCGCTTCGTCGTGTATTTGTCGCTCACTATGCATGGGGTTTCGTACTACGCCGTTGCAAGGAGTACAAGTGGGTGCTAAGTTTTTTTGCTGTATTTTTGCAAAGTGCCGTGTGTGACAGTGAGGGGTTCCCAGGAATGAGGGAACCAGGATCCTGTCTGGGCTTTCTCCCGGGGGAATCGAAACCTTAATGACGCCATAACGCTCGAGACAGACCAAATGGTGGAAAGGGATCCGGGTCCTTGCAGTTTACTGTCCAGAATCACAAAAGACAAAGGCGTTGAACAGACATCATCATTTGTGATCGATGTTCAGTATTTTGTAGTGCAGTAGTCTTTGGTTTTAACTTGGCCCGTGGACTATATTTAGAAATGTCTTTACGTTTCAAGAATAAACAGCTGTAGTTTGTAAATTCTGTACAGCCAGCCTTAAAAAGACTCTTCAGTCGTGTTGTTAATAAAACTTTCAAACTAGAACGCCGACGTATATTCCAGAAAAAACTAATTAAAAAAAGAATACGTAACTCGTGTAACTCACCAAAAATAAAATGCAAGTAAACATTTTCAAATTAGCAACGTGATTTAACCTATAAATATTTAGAAGACATGTTCTTTAAAAAGGCGATTCTTATCGAAAATGGGCTGATTCTCTTTTTAGAACCAGTACTTGAATTAGCTTTACAATCGTATTTTATACTATACAATGTAAACGTAAAATTTTCCCTTGATATCATGTTCACAGGATGCATGACTGACGTTTGGTGGATTTATAATAATATTGGTTACACGGTAAAGCCATGTATTGGCCTTCCCTCCCTTGGGCCTCCACACAACACTTGCAAGCAGGGAGTAACAACATCCTGGCATTATTTAACAGCCCTCTGGAGTTGATCTGCGATCACCTGATCAACACCAGTCCTCTGCCCAGCTATTTGCGGTTCTGCACTCTAGTTTTATAACAGTATTCCTGCTTGTATATACAGGGTGATTCAAAGCTCTGGCACATTTCTTAAATATATTAATTGGGAGATAATTTAGAACAGAAAACGTAACTTGAACAGAGGCTTTTAATTCGCCACCGTTTTCAAGTTGATGTCACTTTGATTAATGTGATTGTCGATTTTTATATAATGGAAATGGTTTGTTTTAACGTATTATGTCAGTTGATTTCCTTCTTTGCAAGTAAAGAAAGAGATTTCCGTTCTTTGTGGCATTTCTCTGTGGTGGGGCACATATCAAACTTGTTACTGGCACTATTACTCGATTCTGATAATAGAGGTTATGTACACCTTCACTGCTCTCAGTACGACCACAATAATACAAACCATCATCAAAGCAAAAACGTAATTATGAAACAGAGGCGAATCTTAAAAAAAATAACGTTTTCTGCTACAACTGATCCCCTCAACAACCTTCTCAAGTATCGTATTAGATCTTAAGGTGTCTGTGTTCGGTCATATGGATATGATAATGACTCAGTTAAGTACGTATGTTTATAACAAGCAAATGATTGACGTTGTTAAACGTTTGATAGGCCTACATATACTTTCTTCCTCAGTTCTACAAAAAAAGGAAGCATGTTATAAATGGACATCAAATACAAAAGATAACTTAAGAAGAAAGATAAAACTCACAGAGAAAATCTTTTAATGTTGAGTTGGATTCTTCATTCAAAGATTTTAAGTCGTCTGAATCATTGTATACCCAAGCATAGCTGCCAAATACATAATATAAATTTATTTCATAGTTTACTAAATACAATCAGAAATTTTATATCTCCCTGACATCAGTTTTGTTCTTGGAATATCTCAATACACGTAAATTAATTTATTTGCTTTGGAGAGTTCTTGTCATGTTTGTTTTCTGAGGCATCAGTAGGTAATTTTACGAAATACCCCAAAGATGAACTGATGCTGGAAACTGAGGCAATGAACACATCGTATGGAGGTCATGTCTAATCTCCCAGACCACGTAAAACAACTTTACTGTCAACAGAGCCATCTCTGCAGCACGGTGTCTGACATCTGTCGGCAACCATATGAACTAGAAGCTTCATCGATGATAGTGGCGACGACTAGAATTTTCTTCTTGTTTAACTACATTTACGAAATAATTACGAATCGTTGAGGCACAAGGTATCTTAAATTAGGCCATGACCGCTTCCGCCCACATCATTTTCAATTCATAAACACTAATCCTCTCACTTGACGCTGTATAGTCAGAGAGATAGGTTAAATAAATAAAAAACTTTTTGACTCCTGTTATACATTCCTGTACGACAGTACCGCTACATCCCGCAAATTTTATATTTTTTATTGCTATGTAAGGCCTACTTGCCAGAACCTCTCTATCTGTTTGCATTCCTCGATTCTACAGTCCTACCATATCTTCATATTCACATACTGGCTTTGGTGGTGTGAATACCAGTTTTCTCTTGTTTCAATGCCTAATGGTTTGCAATTAAGTAGTGACGTTGAGTACAGACTTTATTATGTATTCATTCCTTGCCAGAATGGGACATCCTGACGTTAGATGATAAGTAGTTTCCTCATATTACATAGTCAACATACACTTTCAGCTATTCATAAATTAATTGTAATAGGGAAGATAGATAACACCATTTGAAAGGACCACCAGAGGGAAATGCTCTTGATACCATACTGTTCTTGCTGTTTTTGTAAATAATTTATTTTATGGCATCCTTTAGAATATTTTCATTTACATCTATGCAGTATTCAGTTCAATGAATCAATTGAGTGTGAGATGAAAGTAGCCCAATTTCACACAGCTGGTGCTCCTGAAGGAATTAACTTGATGTTGTTGCTAATTTCAACTAGGTGCTTACACAAACTGTGTAAGGGCAAACCAATGACATTGAAGTAATCCCCTTCAATCTTTTCAATCAGACTGCCACCAAGCCCTTGAATTCCATATCCACCTGCTTTGTCCCTTAAAATTAAACACAAAACAGTCAGTATAATTGTAAATTATACTGTAGAACTTAACTTATAAAAATGAGTCAAACAAAGCAGGGGTCTGCAGATTATGCTGGTCCATAATATATAGCTAATTATATACATGATTTGTAACACCTGAAAGAATTAGTATTTACAATCAGTCACTTTTTTACTTTTGTTTCCTTTGTATAATTAAATTCTTTGTGCTGAATATTACTAATTTTGGAAAAAGAAAATGAACACCAAGATCTGAGTATTTAGTAATTCATCCCTCTCCCCGTATAATCATGTTAAAAATTAAAATTAAATCCGTGGCGTAACAGTCCTCTGAGAGCCAAAGCCGACTAGCTGGCTGCTGGCCTCACGTTCACATGCCTAAGCAGAGGTGAACGATCATCCAACCAGATATAGGGTGACGTGTGGTCAGCACGACGAACCCCCAGCCATTGCTAGCTTTCCTGACCGGATTACGCTACCCATTGTAGCTCCCCAATTTCCTCACGATGCTGGGCTGGCACCGGTCCCATACACCGCTCAAAAATCTCATGAGAAATTTCTTTCCCCGAGACTCAAACCGGCGCGCATTCTGTATCGCTGGTCCGAAGCATGATGCCTCAGACCGCGCAGCTACAGAGCGGGACGCATAATCATGTTAGATACAATAAATGTTTAATTTAAACTACTTCAAATACCAGTTTAATAATATATTCCAAATAATATCTTTGATATCTGAAGTAATGAACAGAAAATACTTACAGAGGTTCTCCAGTTTTGACATATGCCTTTATGGTTTCCTCTGAAATTGGTGCCATGAAAACTTTGGTGCACTCACTGAATTTCACTATCTTGGTGCCAGTGTCGACAATAACACCAGTAAAAACGGTGTGTACATGTCCTCTTAGCCTGTTAGAAATTAATTACAAACGGATCTTTAAGTCTGTGAAAATTGTGGATTCATTATCAGAGAGTTATGTTAGAATTGTCCATTGTGTGGAGTATATCTGTACAACCAAATGCCTAATGATGAGAGTACACTCAATTTCTGAAATATTTCACATATCAAATGCACATCACATAATGGAAATCAACGAATAAATTCTCGATAAAGGATTCACGCACGTTTACTTACACTGTCAAATAAATTATAAGATATTTCAGGCATTTGTTACAACAAATTACTTTTATATTTTGTTTCTTTTTTTAGCCTGCTTTCCTAATTCTGCACCCACAATTTTAATTAATTTGAATTACAGCAGTACCTTTATATTACAAAACTCTCTACAGTTCATTCAATACTGAACATCAGTGTCAAGATGCTTTTAAATTCCATGAGCCAAAAACTTCATTCAGCAAACTTCCACAGAAAATAATATAATATATTTGATAGAGAACTGGCAAGTCTAAAAATAAAATAAAACTAGAATTCTTACGCTTTTAACATCTCAACTGCCTTCTCTTCAGTTTTAGGTTTGCCATACACCTTTCCATCCATTGAAACAACAGTATCTGCACCAATAATTATGTCAGGTTTGTTTCCTTCAGCACACAATCTTTGTGCTACTTCTTGCACCTTATTGGATGCACAGTCTATAACATATTCTGAGTGACATCTGTACTTTAATGGATCAAGGTCCTCTTCATACAATGATGGACAAACATCAAACTTCAGTCCCTGAAAATAAAATGGTCAATATGCAAACTTTAAAGTTTTTTTTCTTTCAACTTTCTATTAGATATTATTTTGGCTCAAGTATTAATGCAAGTTGTTGGATAATACTGTCTTTTTATATTAAGTTTGTATGTAGTTAAATAAATTTCTGTAAAGGCAAACAAATATTTTTAAGATCCCGGTCTTCTGGGTTGTAGTGCTGTGTGGTCTGGTAAAAATTTACCAATGTTTCAAAGGTCCTTGACTGACTGGACTTGAGTAACTTAGCACCCTGATGATAGAGGCAGCAAGAGCCTCTGAAACGTTGGTCAACTTCTACCAGATGACATGGTGCTATAACCCAGAAGACAGCTATCTTCAGACTCACTGCCATGAAAACCTCATATCCTACTAAATATTTTAACTTAAGTTTTGATGATGTCAATATCAGCGCCGTGATATAAATTCTTGTAATCGTGGATAACCACATATTTATCAGCTAACACAAGACAAAATACTTAACTGACTTAAGTTTTCTTCATGGGCATTCTGTCTAGAAAAGTCACTGTACTTCAATTGACCAAAAACACTATGTAACACACCACAGTATAGCACCAGAAGCAAGCCATACAAAAACTTTGTTCTACTAAAGGAAAGAAAGCTTTCTGAAAAGTGTGATAATATTTATCATTTGATGTTACATGGAAAAGTGAATGAACTCACATGCATGACAATTTTATAAATAGTTCACTTCAGAATACTGGCACCTATCTTTCTGTAACAAACAACCACTGCTATGAATTATTGCTTCTTTGTACAAAGGACAAGAATTTATTTAATGATGATGATTATAACAGTAGCAACAATGATACCTTACAACAAAATTAACATTAATAGCAATAGTTGCTACAGCATCAAGAGCAATGATGATGATGATAATAATAATAATAAATTATTCATTGCAAAAACAGCCATATTTTTAATAAATGGATTGGTGGTGGAATGACTAGCCTTCTAATGTATAAGGGTTGTTTATATAAGGTTTACTGTGTTGTTTTGTGTTACGCATTACTGTTTCTGCATGTTTATTATTGTATTTCCTATGGATGACAGAATAAATCAATTCATTATCTTTGCAAGAATAAATAAGGCAAATGACAGGAAAAATAATTCAGTGGTTAAAGTCAAGGCTACATGAAGCGCTTGAACCATTTAGGTCTACATGATTTAGTTTTGAATCATTTAAGTCTACATGATTTAGTCTTGAATCATTGACTACACCCTTTGCTGAAGCACGTTACTCAATAATTGATAATAAAAACACAGCTTAAAACATTTCACTTACCACACCTTTCAAAATCTCTACTCTTCTTGGAGAACTACTTGCCAAGATTATTCTTTGAGACTGTAGAACCTGCATTACAGGTTCCAACATCATGAACAGACTCTAAACAAGAAAGGTCTATTATAAATGTATATCATTCCAGGAGATATATTCCTGGAGTTATTATGAAATAACTACATTGTGACATTGTAAACTGCCAACCATGGGTTTTTGTGTTGACAGTGATGAACCTGTTAGTTATAACTTTTCTTTATTTAATGACACCTTGTAACTACATAAGTTTCATAGCACTGAATGGCAGGATGAATGTGAAGTCATGTCAGAAGGATACAGGAGGAACAGGTTATAGTCTCCTCCTCATATTACCTGAAAGGATAGTGATGTCTACGAATTATTACTGTGGGTTCTCTAAAAATGCTACATAAGTGTAGCTACATTAAGCTAACCAAATAAGTAATAATGTAAAAGTAAACTAGCAGCTTTTAATATAGCATATTAGCCAACAACGCAATGAGGAACATCAGTTACAGCATAATTAAAACGGAACTATACCTATTAAAAAACAACACACTTGTTAAGGAAGAGGGTTTTAAAAAAGCAGACACTGCCAAACATAACGCTTAACAACAAACCATCCTTGATTCGACGACAAATGTTAATACTTGTTGTTTTGCGGTTTCTATCCTTTTCTCTCGTTATTTGGTTAGAACAGCTTTGTTTTTATTCTTTCTTTAGCCAGAACTTTCATATTCAGAACCCTACTTTCATCATTTGGCTTGGTAAGTTGGCATACGTCTTTGGTAGTGCAACCTCCTAAACAATTTTCCCACAAATTCTACAACACTCCTTTCTATGGTGATGTAACGTAACGCTTTTAGCCGGAATCAAATTTAATTTACCTACAACCCAAAAGAGAAAATGGTTGTCACAACCAAAGAAAACCAGCCCCCATACATCACAGATTGTTAAAGACACAACTAGAAGAATCTATGGAATTATTCGATTATTCCAATCTATCGATAGAAAAACGAATGAATTTATGTTCTTTGCATTCTGTATGATTTTAGTCTAGAAATCGAAAGAAACAATTTCGTTTGATTGATTCGAACGATAGTTGAATAACAATCCGAATACTTGCGCTATAGTTTGGATTTCTCCATTTCATAATGTAATTGGTGGGGGAAAACGAATGCGAAGTCACTCACCTTCAGTCGTTCACACATGACCTGTGTTTATGCAAGTAGTTCAATAACATTTACCGAACATAATTCACAGTGGTAGTTCTATTTTAATTATATATCATATTATTACTTCCGTGCATTCACAGTGATCAGTACTTGTGCCACAATTTCGGGCAGAGACAATTACAACACGGATATCAGGTAATAAATGTTCTTATACTCTGTGCAGGTTATGTTGGTCACAGACACATATTGGTCACGCGATCAGGATAAGTTGGCAACAGGCAATAGCTGTTGGTTGTGTGGCGGTGAATGCACGTGTTTTACAATTTTTGTGTTTGGTTTGAATAACCTTCATATTTTTAAGTATACGTACGACAAAGTGAAGGTTAGTCATTAATAATTAATGTGTGTATTTATAACTGTCGTTGGTTAGTTAGTGCGTTCTTTCTAGATTATATTGTTTAGCATCATTTATGCCTGTATGAATAGATTATAATTATGAAGTGTAGTCCTCTTGATAACTGCTTGGAATACGTTTGTAAGGAGTATTGTGTTCTTTCAGTGTTAAGGTATTCAAAATGGCAGATGAAGATTCTAATGGTGTTGTAGAAGAAAAAGGGTCAGATGGAGATGATTGTGATGTAAAAGAAGAAAAGGGTTCAGATGGAGATGTTAATGGTGTTCAAGAGGAAAAGTGGCCCAGTTTGAATGACAAGATAGTTCGTCAAATTGAGGTAAAGAGCTTATGGACTGAAGCTTAGTTTTTTTGTGGTGAGAGGATGTAATTGTTTTTATTTGCAGTCCGTGTGTAATTTTGCAGTTGCAATATTTGGAATGTGCTTATACTTTTGATGAATAAGTAGTGTTCCAGTGCAGTATATATCAGCATGAAACAGTTATAATGCGAGATCAAAACTGTTGCAAAAGATTTACATATTGATTGAGTTTCTGACATTTAGTTTTCCAGCCATCGACTGACCAGTGCAGCATTGTCTCTTGCCACCTAGTTTGTTTAATTGTCCTGTGTAGATCGAGAAACGTATCACACTAAAGTTCTTTCAGCATTATTATTATTATTATTAGTGTTCTGTCTGACGACAGGTCCGTTTACTTGGCAGATGATTCAGAAGTGGTTTGCCTCTATCAGCATATATAACATAAAATATTTATGCCTTTTACCTCTTCAAACCAATTTTCCTCTTTGCAAACAATGTATTTATCAAGTGAAAGATTCTTCCCAGGTTAGTATGCACTGTAACTAGTATTGTTCAATGGTTTATTAAAGGCCTCATTGTCACCAGTCAGTCATCAGGGATGATTTATCCTGGTTTTGGATTTGCCATAAACTTGAGGCATTGTACAAGAAAAATTATTTCCCCTAATATGCAAAGGAAACCACTCTTATTTGAAAAGTGTATTTGTTTTCCAGTAATATTGGAGGTGAAGCAATTTGATTGTACCCATCTGTATAGTAGCAAACCCTTTATTCAAATGTCTGGCCATCCCAACCTGCTTCTTCCAAAGAGTATATTGTAGGAAAATGTGGTACATACTAAAGATGCTGATTTTGGGGAGACAACTGCAGCAGTTATTGATTACATTATTTTGAAAACATTCACAGGGATGTCCATAAAATATACAGTAGTGCATTTATCCCAGATGGCAGATCACAGAAGAATTTTGTTTTCTCTTGGAGAGACAACCCTGGGAAGAGTTTTTCTATTTTTTACGTAGGCATAAGAATTTCTAAAACATTGTAAAACAGTTTTTTATCAAATATATATTTAAAAAACCTTGGAGAGGAAAATTATAGATATTTTATATTTTTAAATGCAGTGCAGGGTGTCAAAAGCTTGCACAGTGGTGCATTTCTCTTCAATAGTGAGTCATAGTAAAGGTGGTAAATACAAAGAAATGTTCCCCTTAGAGAGATAACCCCTAGGAAAATTGTTAATTTTTGTCTATTTTAGAGGTTAGGCACAGGGATGTTCAAGAAAGTTATGCAGTGGCGTGTCATAGGAAAAGGGTAAATAACAAAAGAAATATTGTTTTTCCCTGGTTTATGAAATTTCTCCAATGTAGCCAGCATTTTTAGTTACAGAGATTGAACTTGACAATACTGAATTTACATGTATTTGTAATCATAACCAAAGTCTTTCAACCAGATAGGTTGGAACTATATGGCTAGAGGATATTGTGCATGTTATCTGTCCAAAATATCATATAGTACATTAAGGCATCAATCTTGTAAATTTTCATTCTGTACATACAGTTCATGTTTTACAGTATTACTTTGGAGATATAAATTTGCCAAAAGACAAATTTCTCCAAGAACAAATAAAACTGGAAGATGGTTGGATTCCACTTGAAGTAATGCTGAAGTTTAAGCGCCTTTCAAGCCTTACAACAGACTGTGATGTGATAGTAGCAGCTTTGGAAGCATCAGATCTTGTGGAGGTAAGGATTCATTTTGTAATTTCTAAACATTTATCAGATTTCAATAAGTCTTATTGGAATAATGCACTCTACATATGTGTCTGTCTTGTAGTTGGAAGAAGGGAACAATTTTAATGGAATGTACAATCACCTTAAGGACTGTTTATAGAAATTACTGAAGAAGTTAGTGAATTGATGCACATTTGTTTGTTTCTAGTTGTTTTTTCTGTTCTGTTTATTTGTTACTGATTTGTACAGGCAACTAATATTTGACAAGTGATAGCAGCATTACCAGCACATACATCTTAGTGGATGGATTTTTTCCCCAGCTCTCACATGCTGTTGGATGAAGAATAAGCAATGTCGTAAAATTTATTTATGAAGTGGAAACGTCAGAAGTGCAAATTATATATTCCCATTGATGGAGTAATCATTAGTGGGACATTTTGAAATGCCATAATTATAAAATATTTTTCTACAATCGTTTTATTCATTCCTGATGACTTTGTAACCATGTGGCTAATTTTCATAAACTTTGCATTGTTAATGAAAGATTACATCTACCCACATGACACTGATGACATGTTTGATTGGTTTAGTTCATATTTGGGTTTGTTTAATCATCTAATGGTATGGTGACTCTCTTGTAATGTGGCAAGAAATTAACACTGCATTGTTATTTTTACCATTTATTTAATTTTGAGCCCTCTGTTGATATATTACACCGAACATATTGATGTCAGGTGCTGAGTGATGTAACAGTACATCTCTAGTTTTAAAATTAATTAAAGAATTATTATCTGTGTATAGTAATGAAACTATGATTGTGTCATAAAGAGTATTGTTTTGAGTTTACAGTCAACAGATGTCACATGTGATGCTTTATAAGCAATGCAGTTTAAAGGAATTGTTAAACTAAAAATAATTCAGTCTGCTTCACATGCACTCCATTTACAGAAATTGTTTGTTTGTTTGTTTGTTTTTTTGTTTTTTTTTCTTCCCCTCCATTCTGCTTGGCAAGGAAGATTGATAAGGTCATCATTGAGGGTGATCACCAGAATTACAGCAACCATGCAGTCCTGTTGTAGATTTACTAAAGGGAAACCCATTATAATTGCACAAATTTGTATGTGATATGTTTGTAAAATAAAATATGCTGTTATGTAGGGAATATGATTTTATTTTTCCATGCAGGTTAGTGATGACAAGAAGAAAATTCGTCGTAATCCAAATTCCCCATTGCCAGTATTAAATGAGGAACGGCGCAAAGAACTTACAACCCGAACTGTTTACTGCAAGGGATTTCCTGTGGATAGCACAACATTGGACAAGTTATTGAATTACTTCCAATCATATGGCCCAATTGATAATGTTCAGGTAATGAATTTTAAATATTTAATTATTCTTTAAAAGAATTTTTGTTAGGGTTCAGAAAGGAATCTAAAGCAGTATGACCAATATTTAATGTTACACATAATGTTTGTAATTTGTAACTTAATTTAGGTGTGTTTAACTTCAGCTTTTGGAATTAGCCACATCAAATGTTTTAGGTTTTACATTTTGGCAGACACTGCAGTTGCCATGTTAAGGGTGAATGAGTATTGGAGATTTTAGGAAGCCTTATATAGAGCAAGGCAGTGGGTGGCAAGTGGGATTTAGTGGGCCTGATTGGTAAAACAGGATCAGGCTGCTGTCCAGTTGATGACATGTGGTTTGTTGAAAGGTGATGAAAAATGTTTTAAAGGCCACATGGTGAGAAGAGGTGGTGGAGTTTTGATGACCATTTGAATTGGGAAAGGAGGTGATAACAAAGTTCTGGTGAGTGCATGGTTAGGAGAAGAGGTGGTCATAGGAAAATATTTTAGTCATCTTCATAGCTAAGTAAGCATTGCAGTTGATGTAATCTTCTTCTATGGCTCTCCAGTCCGTATTCGGTCCATGGCCTCCTCAATTCTCCCCTTCCATTCGGTCTGTCTGTCCAAGGCTTTGATTGAGGTTTCGAAACATCTTCCTTTTTATGGTGCAAGGTTGTTAGCCTTGTGACCAACCCCCTAACCTGGAGGACCAGGGTACCTGTCTTAGTCTGACCTCTCCTCCTCGACCAATCTGGCTAGGGAGGCCCTACCAGTAGCTATGCTACCGCCAGCATAGCTCAAGCCCCACCACCACGACAAGGTGCAGGTACCATTAAGTGGGGAATTGATGTAATGTCTTTACTTAACCAGGCTATTAGTAAATGGTGATAACATTTGATACAGCTGTATTAACACTGTGTAATTTTTAATGTTGTTTTCTTTTCAGATGAGGTCATATAAAGATAAGGCAACAAACAAATTCATATTCAAGGGATCAGTTTTTGTTATTTTCAAGACAAAAGAATTAGCAGCAAAATTTTTGGAGAGCGATGTTAAGTATGAGGATGTAAAACTAATAAGCAAGTGGCAGTAAGTATTTGCACATGGACATGCATTTTTGAGCCATGTGGCTCAACATGTATTAATGTCAACACTTGTGGGGGAAGGCTATATCTATTTCTTCATGGACTCTTTAGAGCTTCTTCTTTTGTAGGTTTGTCTTTACTGTTCCGAATGTTTCATTTATCCAGTATGTCTTCATGTGTTATTGAATTATAACATTGTATATAGATTTCTATATTTCACTAAATTTCTCAGACTTGTGGCTAATACATTATATTCCTGAAATTCTGGTCTCAGTGCATTAAAGTATGCAGTTCTGCTGTAATGTGGTAGTTGCATTCTTGAAGAATGACTGTCTTTTAGAAAAACTTACAAAAGTGACTGTTTCTTTGTAGACTGTCTTAAAGAAGTGGATTATAGAAAAGAAATACTAAATGAAAATTAATTTTATGATAGGAATGTTGGTAGTTTGGTTTATACTTTCAATCACTTAACCAATTGCCATTGATTAATTAAGGAGTTACTTAGTAAACAGAAACAGTGTTACAATAAAGATGTGATGAAATGATAAACATACTGGGAACAACCCATTCTTCAAGTGCCTGAGCACTGTGGGTCCCAACTTTTCGTTGGCTTGATCTATAGACATTCGGTAGGACTCCTTGGACGAGGGATCGGCCCGTCGCAAGGCCTCTACCTGTACGCAGGACAACACAGAAAATCATCCATGGCTTCAGTGGGATTCGAACCCACGGTCCCAGCGACCAAGCGGCAGAAGGCCCACGCCTCTGACCGCGCGGCCACTGCGGACCTCAATGATAAACATATAATTTGTAATCTGAAACTAGGAAAGGGTGAAGATTCCTGTCTTCTGGTCATTTAGGAAATGTGGATAATGAGAGTTTTTGACATTATGATAATACTTTATAAATTTTACATTTGATCAACATACTTCAATTCCAGGTCAGATTATGTTGAAGAGAAGAAGAAGGAACGTGCTGAAAGAAAGAAGACTGGAAGGGCACCAACAAATAACTTTAAAGTAGAGGAGCAGCAACAGGTATAATAAATACTTTTGAGCTGTATTTTTTCTGTGCTGAAGATGTTAATTTGTCTGGTGAAAACAAAGGAAAACTTAGAAGTTCTGTTAGATGCTAATATGGCGGTTTGTCTAAAAGAAAGTTTGGAGAAAAATAAGTGTATTTTCATTTACCATTACCAGAATACAGAAAAGAATCTTAATATAAACATAACTGATAAATTATTTTGAATTGAGGCAAAGTTAAATATCTGGGAACAATATCAGATCAGAATCACATCTATTAAGAAATTAAGAGTAAATTAAATCCAGCAAATGTCTGATACAATTAATTCATTTTTTTTTCTGTCTATAAAATATATTAAAACATTCAGAAATGTAGATGTGTTAGTCATTTTGTGTGGGTGTGAATTATGTCTCTCATTCTAAAAGACTAATGTAGATTGAAGGTATAACTTTGGCTTTTGGGTGGGAGCCATGTCAGATATTTTGCGTTGACTAGCATTTTGGGTAAACGTAGTTCCAATTTTTAGCTGAAACTCAAGCTGCGAAAACCTATGGATAAGAATAGATTGAAGGCGTTTGCGAACGGTGCCGAGCAGAATATTTGGACCCACGTGTAAAGAAGTAACTGTTGCTGTACTAACTGAGCTACACTGGCCTATTTTTCATCATGGTGCTGTATATTTTTAGTTTGTGGGAATTATATGTTATATATTGCTTGCTAATGTACTTACTTCATTTGGTGAGTGAGGCAGCAAAGGTTCTTCAAGAACTATAGGACCATGGAATAAGTATGTATGTGTGCTTAGTGTTCCAATAAAGGGTTAAGGTAACAATAAGTATTAAGCTTGTGATTTTTCCATTTGTACAAGTTACACCATTTTTCATTCGTTCCCAGAAAAGTATAAGTTTGAGGTTCTACTGGATATTTAAAACAATTTGCATTCGAGTATAATTTTATATGCACAATAATTTAAAGTGTATTTATTCGAATCTTACGTGTTGTAGTGTTTTACAATACCAGTTTCTGTATGAAAAAATTAATTTTTGGTACTGCCAGTCAGTTTTTACACTTTTAATTTTCATTCAATTTATGAACTAGACTACATTAAATATCTGATAATAAGTCACAGTCTTGAAGATTACTGTATCCTATTATAATTTGTATGATGTTGAAGAGTGTACTGATGTCACAGAAGGAAGATCTGCCGAAAGGAGCAATTTTGCATCTGAAAGGAATTAATGGTGAGACAACACGTGACAACATAAAGGAAAAACTGCTGAATGAAGGTCTGGATGTTGCTTTCATTGGCTTTAACAAAGGAGATGATGAGGCATGGGTGAGGCTGCTGGGAGAGAATTCATCAAAAGAGGTATGTGTATATGGTATTTCTTGAAGATGGCACATCCCTTTTTGTTGTCACATCAATATGGTAGCATTGCCAAAAAAAATTTACTATTTATAATGTGAGAAGTGTAGTGCCATAACTTTTCTGTGGACAAAGAAAATCCAACATTTGAGACTGGAAACATGCCATTTACAACAATATTTTCCTCTTCTTCCATTTCTTGACCGTTACTTAGGTCTTCCAGTGCCTAATATTTACTTCCATTCTTCTCTATTTTCCCATACTTCCGGAGGTAGTTTCCACTCTATCGTGGTTCTTGTAATTCCGTCGTTCCATCCTGGTTTTGGTCTTCCTCTTTTCCTTCTCTCTTTTGGTTGCCATTTCATAGTCTTTTTTGGTAACCTTTCCTCTTCCATCCTTTGCACGTGTCCGTACCAAATCAGTTGTCTTTTCTCTATCTCCTCTATTATATCTCGGTCCACCCTCATGATTTCTCTAATCTTGTTGTTCCTTTTGGATATTTTGGATATTCCAGCCGCTCTTCTTAGGAAATCCATTTCCATTATTCTCAACTTTTTGTTGTTGTTGTTCCGAGAGTTGCCATATTTCTGCTCCATAAAGAGCCACGCTTTGTACCATTGTTTTATATATTCTCTCTTTCGTTCTTTTTGTGATATTTTTGTCACATAATATTGGGTTGAGGGCTCCTGTGAGTCTCCTTCCTTGTTTTATTCTTTCCTCTGTTTTCCTCGTAACATTTTTGTGCATTTTGCCAAGTAACAGTTCTCCTATGGCCTAATACATTTGATACATTCTGAATATGGGGCTAACAATGTGCGTCTTTCATTTTTAGTATGTAGAGAACCTGAAAGATGGTAAACTGACGGTATGTGGCTCAGAACTTGAAGCAAGGTCTCTGGAAGGTGACGAGGAAGTTAATTTCTTGGAGAAAACCAAAGAGGATATAGAGAAGAGAAGGCAAAAGACTGTAAGAATTAAGAAAGGACGCAAAGGTATGTGGGAGAACCTTCCATTATTAATCATTCTTTCAGTTATGTGCGAATCATAGTACAGCATTACTGATTACCCTAAATAGATGCTTGGGGAATAAATAAATGGAAATGAGTACTTCCTGTATCCAAAAACAGTCTTGTTAGTTTAAAGAGGCCATTTAAATTTGAAGATTTCTGTCTTCTG